AAAGTTTCCGATGCAAAATTCCAAAATGAAATTAAGAGCCATTTTGTGGTAACACCCTATGGTGTAAAAAAAAGAGGGTGTTATAATTGAAAACACAAAACATGATGCAGTGCAAAGTCCGAGATCAGGACGTCTGAGATTTCGGATTTGGGAATTACGCAGATTTTAGATCACCAGTTTAAATCTAGTATGATGACATGAAGAAATTATAAAATTAAAAATCTGAAATAGTTTATGAAATAATGAAGCATTTACAACTTAAATAAAACCAAAATTTGCAAAAGGAAAACCTTAATATTTATTTATTTGCCTTATTAAACATTCCTGTCAAGGTAAGTTGTTTAAGTTGCTTAATATTTTTGTGCCAATACTTTCTCTTTAATTTTGCAGATAAACGTAATTCTTTGTTCAGTTGCTAAGTCTTGTAATTACCATGTAAAAATTCTCACTAAACTGTCAATTGAATTTTTTTTTTTCATTCTCAGTAACCTCTCTGTCCCTTTCTTCACCGCAGGTAATGATAATTTCTGGATTTGAAACTATACTACAAATTTTGCTATCCATTGGTTAATTGTTTATTGAGGCATTCTCTTACAAAAGATTTTTATACACTTCTCCACAAATTCCACTAACTGGAAAATTTTGCTTTTTGATTTAGATGTTCAAAAACCTTCAAATTCACAATTATCATCATAAAGTTTAACCAGCATCTGCTATACACCATTGAAGATGTATCACACAGTTCACAACTAAAGTATTGCTCCACTAAAATTTTCCTTGCTCCTATTGCAGGTTGTGGGAGGAAAGCCTAGATTATACTAGTTTTGTTATTTATTATACTTTCATCTATTTCCTTCATATGCATCTATTTCCTGCATGTGCTTATCTGAATCCCAATGAAATAAATTCCCTCATCTACTTAAGGCGGTACTTTTCCATTATGCATTTGCATGTGTTTTGGTTGATTTTTTACTTGTAAATAATTTCTAGTTATAAGAATAGTTTGTAGATGGCAAACATAAACAACGCGTGGCAGGTGATGAGAACAACAAATCAGTTATTTTTAATTTAAACAGCACTAAATGGAAAATATAATTAACTAATACTTAAGAATAATTAGTAATTAATAATACTTAATAATATAATTTTAACAAAATCTGAAATGTTTCAGATTTTAAATTACGTCCAAAGAAGCATTTTTTTAACGTTTTGTGTGTTACCTTTATTTATTAAATATCATGTTCTTTGCATTTAAACCATAAAATTCAGTTCAACAGCAATGTCGCAAAATAATTTTAAAATGAGCATATTTTTAGAATTTCTGATACACAGTTCCGCACACTGGAGATAAAAAGGGTCCCCCTCCCCTGTAGAGTGTTGCCATTGCTCGCTTTTAAATCGTTGAATTTGTTAATAAAAAATTCGTTAAAGTTTTACAAAATATGAAATCGATAATAAAACAAATTCCAAATTTCAAATTTGGGCCTTCAGATGTCCATATTCGCAGTAGGATTACATCATTCAAAATTGGGTGATTCTAGGTACCATTGTTTTATCACGATATAAGAAACATACATACATTTATGCAGATTCTTCCTTATTTAATTTCTTTAAATATAATACAGGGTGATAACATTTGGTGGCAACAATTTGAAAAGTGATACAGCCTTTTAAAGTTTTGAATGCAAAATCGCAAAATGAAAACAATAGTCCTTCATAGCAAAGTATATGTATGTATTTCTAAAAATTTCTCCTTATCAACACACTTATTAACCCTCAAATTGGTAAGTATTCTAAAAATATTCTAAGCCGTATATACACATACAGACTAGAATATTTTTTGTTATATCTGTAAGAACGTATATATATGTGCATATTAAAATATGTGGTACTTACGTATTATCGCAACCAGGTTGGCGCAATTTGTAAGTTTGAGTAAAAAAGTATGAATAGAAAGAAAAATGTACATTTATTATTCGAATTTGAATAAGTTGCAGAATTATTTTTTCGGCGGAAATCTTTTGGCTATTGCTTTTAGCACTGATTGAAAACCGTATTCGCCATAACCATGTACACCAATTGAGAAGTCAAAACAACAAAAATCAGCGTTATATTTACAAAATTTTCACAGGACTAGTTTCGATGGTTTTACCGAACCACCATCTTCAGATTCATTCATTTGCGGTTTTGCAGCTGAAGATGGTGGTTCGGTAAAACCATCGAAACTAGTCCTGTGAAAATTTTGTAAATATAACGCTGATTTTTGTTGTTTTGACTTCTGAATTAGTATTTATTCGGCGTGTTATTGTGTCTTAACCATGTACACGTTGACTTATTTTTACTTAAAAAAAATATCCCAGAATTGCACAAAAATGGCATTGAGCACACTCTTGACTTTATCCATGTACACTGCTATTTTCTCATAAATTACAAAAAATTTGCACGAAAATGCAGGAAATTTTTCTGAATCTCCACATGCTCTTTATACAAATCTACATATAACACGTAGGGTTGCCATAAGTAGGGTCGCCAAATTTGGCAATTTATGCGAATTTTGGCCTGGTTGCGTTAATACGTAAGTACCAAATATGTCAAAGAAATTAAGGCAATATATCAAAAGTACACAAATCTAGGTATGAAATTCCAGGAGAGTTTTTACGTTAAAATCAAAAAAATAATTTGTTCTCATAGTAGTTTTGGGAAATTTGTGCTTTCTTAGAAAAACCCTGGCCGCTCAGAGGGTTCACAATTCACAATACAGTTAGCTGAAGTCTGTAATCCTGGCCAAGCATAAAGTTAGTATAAAAGGTTACCAAGCTGTTCAATGTTCAGTTATTGATATTTAAAATTAAAATTGTTTAGACATCACTGCATCAGTCATATCTCAAGCTGCTGTGAGTTGATAGTCATGTGGTAACAAAAGCAAAAAATAATAATAAATGAAGCGGTAAACTTTGATAGAATGTTTTGATTTGAGGTGTATGCCAAGCATTAAGACAACTACAGAGTAAAATTATTGATCATACAGATTTATGCAAATAAATTATTATTTCTTCAGCATGGGTATTTTATTTAGTGCCAAAGTGAAATTAAGAATTAGAATTCCAACTATTGTTACCACATGATTTATGAAAAAAAAAAAAAAAATTGTCTACCGTGCATGCATGAAGCATTAAGCATTTGCTACTCTTGGAATCTTAATTCTTTCTCCTTTTTTGCAAAAAAAAAAAAAAAAAAAAAAAAAAAAAACTGCTGGTTGTCAGAAGATTTAGATATGAGATCATTCCAGATTTTGGACTTTGCACTGTACTGATGTTTTTGTTACTGATTATAATGATTATTTTAATTTCTGTGTTGGATACTCGCCAACTAGAATTTTGCAACTATCACGTTGATAGAAAATCTGTTTGTAATGCAGTCTATTAAGTGGTAAGTATTGTAGTAAATTTGCGTTTGTGTACTTCAGACTTTTTCTTTTGTGAATGGATCCTAAAATGCTTTCTTCAACTAAAAATCAAATCTCAGATTTGTTATTACGATTAAGTTCTTTGCTGATTATCTGCAACAGCCAGCATCTTCATCTCTTTAAATTTTATAACACGCACAGCAAAATTCCTGTTCATATTCTTCTTCTCAATTACACTTTAGTTTTAGAAATTTCACTCCCAATAAAACATCAAAAATTTTGAATAGGAATTTAAGAATAATTTTAACACAATATGAATGAACATCTCAGTATAAAATGATTACATAAACACAATCAGATATATTTAAATAATATAAACTTGATCAGATAAATTTTCAAATTAACTTCAAAAATAAAAAATTACTATTACATATAACATGCTTACCTAACAAAATAATTTAAACATGGGGAGTCACTGGATTTAAACTAAACTCACTAACCTAACGGGCCAAGGCCTGCAGTGCCCCGAAATCTGCTTTCTTGACCGTGGGGCCTGAGTGTGTAAGCATATGCCCTGAACAAGTGGTCAGTTTGTCGCAGGACTCCTAGTGTTTAGTCTCCAAGCAAACTTGGTACTCATTTTATTGACCCAAGGGATGGAAATCAAGGTATGAAGGGCTGAGTTGACCTTGCCCAGCCCGGGTGTTCAAACCCCGGACCTGTGGTGCTGCTGCGTTATGCGCTAGCCACTGCGCCTGGAGAGTCACTGAATGTAAAGAATATTTTGGAGCTGAATTTTCAGTGATAATTATCTAATACGGGATAGCATTTTTCAAATGCAGATAAGTTTAAAAGTTTCTTTCAGGTAAATAAAGCTTAATGTAAGCTGGAGCTCTCTACAAAAAGCCATAAGGGTATATAAAGATATGTTATATTGTGCCCATTTGGATTCTATATAAAACCAGTTTGATTAATATAATTCAGTATGTGGATTTGTAACACACAAAATAACAGAATTATAGAAAATGGCAAACAAAGAAAACAGATTTCAAGTCAGCTCAAACAGCTCTTAGAGTGACACTGTACTTTATCTACCTGTATGTCACAAGAATGTATCGGATAAGATTCATTGACTATGGCAAAGCCCATTAAGATTAGATGAGTGATGCCATTGTATAAGATAAGGGATACTCTTCACAAATTACTAAATAATGCTGGCTCATATTTATAATACATTAGAGAGGAGTGGTACCAGCAGGCACATGACCAGGGCTGAACTAAAACTGCTTCATGTCATTTAACCTCTATTCCACAAACAAAAGGAGGGATTTACAAACAGAAAGTGATAAAGTATCAAAAAAGCTCATTATATTTCTAATTTGGTATACCATTATCTCACTTTCGGCACTGATAAATGTGTTTTTAATATTTGATGGGACAGCACACATTGCTCCTTAAAATTATTCTGCTATGAGAAACAAAAAGGTTTCATCCTATCAATTAAGAACAAATTAATGATAAATTATAACTAACTATGCCTCAAATTGCCAAAATCTGTGATATACTAATGAAAAATATATGCCAAGATTTTTACCAATTGGAGGAAAACCACTTCTGTAGGAAAACCATATTTTGCTACTTATAACAGCTCGTAATTCTTCAATATCTGGAATCACAAAAACGAAACAGTATTCATTAATGGCCCTGGAATTATAAACACAGATTCTTTTCACTTTTATTCCAATAGTATTTTTAAAGTGTACATTATTTAAAAGACAAATAAAACTTTTTGATTTAACAATAGAAGACTATGCAATTCAATATTAGTACACATACTATTAGCTATGCTTATTACAATAACAATAAGCATATCTCTTATTTTTACTTCCTTGTACAAAGTAGAGGAAATATTGTAATTGTAAAAAATTTGGGGTATCATGTTTCAATGAAAATATCCATTTTAACTACTCTCAGATCCATTTGAATAATGTTTTTGCATGACATCCATATCTATAGAAAGAATAAAGGACTCTTACTTCCAAAACAGATTGTAAAATGGATTTAAAATGGATTCAAAAAAAAAAAGATTTTTTCACTATGTCTCTACATGCATATGAATGTATTTTGTATAACTCAAAAAAAGAGTAGCCTCGGGACATTGAAATTTTGTATATGGGACTGCTAGAACATGTAGTTGTGCATCTCCTTTCTTGGTCATAATCGGCAGCACCAAACATATACACACACTCTGTTATCTGGCTTGGTGAGCTCAATTTTTTTATATTTTGGTAAATTGTTTATTTGTTTGCTCTAAAAATGATTGAATTATGTTGTTTTTATGTTCAGGTTAAGGTTTTTATGCCTTTAGCCTTTAATTAATCTGCAAGCAATAGTTGCAGAATTAACAACAATTTAAATGCTTAAGTGACACTAGGCCTAATGAGGCCACCACTAGTTTACATTTGAAACTCTTAATAGAATAGTGAACTAGGTCAGTTGCTGAAACAATTCTGGTGTCTTTTCACCCAGTGAAACCCAAAGTTAACTTTCAACTGTTAAAAATGTGTCTGAGTGAAACTGTCTTTCTGCTTGCTGGCCAAATTTGAATGATTTGATGCAGAAACTATAATAACAACTGTAAAAATTGTTTTTTTTTAACTGTTTTAAATCATATTTGGCATTTTAGGTTTTTGTGTATTTTTTAATTTTTTATGAAGATGCTTAGAGTTTTTATATATTTTTGCCTTGCCACAAAGTGAGAACTAAATTGATTAAATGAGAAATATATCTCTAATAATATTCGAGGAAACAAGTTGAAATGAAGTGCAGCAAAAATATGTGTATAATTTGATAGGCCATACGAGGAAGTCATGTGGTATCCACATCATATATTTTAATCTGGAATTGTGCAAATTAAAGCTTTTCCAAAATTAATAAAAAGTTGCTAATCTGTCATAATATAACATGAAACAGAAATGTGACAGATACTAATGCATAAGCTGGACTTCTAATACAACAATTACAGCACTGAAAATGTAATCGAATCTTATTCACAGTATTCATTGAATTGTGACGAGTTTTCCAAAATGTTCTCACGGATGACAGCTCTCATAGATGAAATTATCATGTGACCACAGTAACTGCAGCCAAGATCATTAAAGTAGATACTTTTCCAAAAAAGTATGATAGTGGATGCTTAAATATCAGGTGTCGCATTAATTTTAATAACAAAACTAATTAGATGCACTTATTATAGTGTACCGAAAGTCTAAAGGCAGTGATAAGCAAGTGCAAAAATAGTCAGAAATGGGTATAATTGCATGGATATACAAATGGTTATACTGAAAGGTGGGTGTCGAATAGGAAAGCTTGTAAAGTATTTATTTATTTTAATTAACCAGCTATTTTATATTACACAACTTTATTATTACTTCTTCCTTTACACTTTCCTGCCAGAATGTTAACTTTAGTTTGCGGATATTTAAATAATTAAATGAGGTAGAAAGAGACAGAATAAAGATTTTAGATTGTTTAGTAGCTCCACCTGCTGAAGGCCTCTTACTAGTTGAATTTCTATGATAGCATTCTGTCTGTGGCATTGGTTTAATCTTGCTAATAGTGCTTGCCATGTCAGTACAGGTTTACGGCAGCTTGGGTGCTAATCATTTCTGTGCAGTCTAGGGGTAACTTAAGATTTAACTTAAATTTGAAATTCTTTATTTTGGAATTATGCCATAAATGCTGATTTTGTAAGCACAAGAAGTGCCTTCTGTTCAATTATATTGAGTTCTTAACCCTCTGAGTGGCCAGGGTTTTCACTAAGAAAGCACAAATTTCCCAAAACTACTATGAGAACAAATTATATTTCTGATTTTAATAAAAACTCTTCTGGTATTTCATACCTGGATTTGTGTACTTTTGATATATTGTCTTAATTTCTTTGACATATTTTAATATGCACGTATATATACGTTCTTACAGAAATCACAAAAATAATATTCTAGCCTTAAAGTATTTATTTACCTCTAAGCTCTATTTACCTCTTTATTTACCTCTCTATTAACCCGCTTGCTTAGAGGGTTAATGAAAGGATCTTTTACACCTTTCTTATATTTCTGTTGTTTATCTAGATATAGCGCTAATTTGCTTAAACCTACATAAAGTCTTGACTTAGTGGATACTATCTAAGAGAAAGAGAGACTCTACAGGCTCATAAATGATGAGTACAGCATCAGTGTCTAAAAGCTGCATAAAGTACACAAAGGCAACCCACAAAACCTGTATACAGTCAAAAGTTGTTAATCCGGACTCGTCGGGACTTCGGCGATTCCGGATTATAGATGTTTTATCAGTTAAATCTGGTAACATGGCATGCAGAAATTATAAAATTAAAAATATGAAACCGTAATTTATGAAATAAAGAACAATTATGATCTAAAGGGTATCAAAATTTACAAAAAAAAAAAGCTTAATATTTATTTGTTTACTTTTTATTAACATTTCTTTCAATGTAAGTTGTTTAAGTTGCTTCGTTTTTTATGTGATAATACTTTCTCTTTAATTCTATAAACAGACATAATTTCTTGTTCAGTTACGAAGTTCCACTGTTCAAGTCCTACAACTGCTGCGTCGAGAATACAGACTAATTTGTCAATCAAAATTCTTTCGTTTTCGAAGAAAGTCACGCTATCGGAAGCGAATTATAATGACGAGGAATTTGATTTAAATCATATCAAAGACGGAGTACATCAAGATGAAATACTACATTTAGTAAGGAATTATAAGCCAAATGAAATAAAAACATCTGCCCCGAAGATAAGGATAGTGCTCACAGATAAACTTCCAGACCTTGCGTGCCGCGACGTCCCCCCCCCCACGCAGAGCAGCATGAAATTGATAAACAGATTTCGAAATGGTTAGATAAACAAAGGATATGCCTTTATCCATTTTTTACAGCAATTCCACTTTTTGTTTAATGGACTTCAAAACATACTTTCGGCTTGTAGATCCTTTACATATTAGTAAGTATATATCAGAAATTCTATTTGACATAATCGAAAGTTCAAGCTTACTTTTATAAAATTGCTCTAACAGTCTGCAAAAAATAATAAGCCGGATCCAATTTGAAGATTAAGGAACAACGCAATCTTCAACATAAACTGAATTAGATAATTTTAGCTTAGCTTATATCGTCCGTTATACATTAAACGTGCATTCGTAAACATATTTTGCGCATGCGCACCCCTATTTTCGCAGCCGTAAAGGTGTTATGCGCATGTGTCAATACGACGCACGCGCAGAAAGTTTGTAGCTTTGAGGTCCGGATTATGGGTGTCCGAATTAACGATTTTTGACTGTACTACATTTTTTGTGCAGCGTACACTAGCATGCATAAGTTCCTGCAGAAGATATTTCTCTCATTATCCACTCCTAATATCTAAACTGGTATTGCAATATACCACATGTTGATAATGTTATCAAGAAAGAGGTAAATTGAAAAGAAAAATGTAAATTGGTTTGATGAATCAAAGTTTTTTTTTCCCTTTCTTTTCAATATCATACTAACAAGCATTTGCATACTGTAAAGGCCCTTATTTTCGCAGGCCGTAATTTTCGCAAAAATGAATATATCAGTGATTTCGTGAGTTGAAAATTTCACGAATTTTATATAAACAGAACTGAAAGTTGAAATTTTTCAAAAGTACCTAAGTAAAGTTGAGAAAGTTGAAAAAAAAAAAAAAAAAAAAAGAGTATTCTGCGATTACTATGGGCTCGCGAAAATTAAAGCCTCGCAAAAATAAGGGCCTTTACAGTATTTGGCAACAACAGCATAAAGTAAAATTATACCCCATGCATAATGAAAAAAAAAAAAAAAATCTGATGTGTACACCACATGACTTCCTTGTACGGAATATTAAATTATACGCATATTTTCTTGCATTTCGTTTAAACTTATTGGATTGAATTAAATCTACTTTGCCGACAGTGCATAAACCACAATAGCATAAATGCATTCTTTAAAATTCACTCTATTTGTTTACCATAGCGACACTCTGGCAGTAGGTTCACTTAACAGTATTAAATTTCGTTCATATTATAACTCAGAATATACAAAATTTATATCATTTAAAAATTATAATTATCTAATCGTTGCCACATGTTCTATTCAAATACTATCAGAAAGGATTAAGCATGATTTTATTCGTAATAATAAATGAAGGCGTTATTTTTGTTGTTGCGAAGCTACGTTTCTCTAAATTGGCAACAAATTCACTATTCTGCTGTTTCAAATGTAAACAAGCAATGGCTGCCCTCAAAAAAAAATTATTAGGCTTAGCGGCACTTAAACAACTTTAAAATTGCTCATAATTCTAAAAATATTGCATACAGATTTACTAAAGGCATAAAAACCTTAACCGGAAGATAAGAACAACATAATTCAATCATTTTTAAAGCAAAATATGTACAATTTACAAACATATAAGAGTAAAGGAACTGATATCACTGAGCCGGGTAGCAGAGTGGATATATATATAAATATATTTATATATGTTTGGCGCGGCCGATTGCAACCAAAATATGAAATGCACATCTACATGTTATAGTTGTCCTATATAAAAAATTTCAACATTCTGAGGCAACTCATTTTTGAGGTATGTTAGATAT